ATGGAGCCAAAAAGTATGACACGGATTAACTTTATGAAAATCATTCTTCTTCATCATACTTTAATTTATTTATCAGTAATATTACTAAGAGTAATATTTGTATCTCAATGGTTACCACGACAGATTCATAATGGAAAGAGTGTGGGTTCAAATCCTGCCATACATACGACCAGCCTGGATCAGCTACCGTTGTCCGTCCTTTGGCAAGGTACTTTACTACATTATCTTAAATATTTTTGTGCCATTAAACACCAAACCGAATCAAAAATATTATTATTATTATTATTATAATAATTATTATTATTATTATTATTATTATTATTATTATTATTATTATTATTATTATATTAGTATTATTATTATGTTTATTATTATTATTATTATTATAATTATTATTATTATTATTATTATTATTATTATTATTATTATTATTATTATTATTATTATTATTATTACGTTTATTATTATTTTTATCATCATCATCATCATCATCATCATTATTATTATTATTATTATTATTATTATTATTATTATTATTATTATTATTATTATTATTATTATTATTGATAAGCCTTCTCAAATTCAATGCATTTTTTACATCCGCCATATATCTTTATATCCCTGTCATCCTCTCTGGGTCTCGGATTATGTCAATGGATTTGATCATCAAGTAAAAATCAGCATATAACAAAGTCAACACTTCTTATATTTCGCTCTTGGGTTGGATCCATAGGGTGATGGTTGTCATGCGCTTAGATATATCAACACTTCATCTCAAGAGCATATCATATGTTTCTTAAAACATGTAGTTTCGTATTTGTTTCTTCATGTCAAAAACTTCCGTGTTTTGTTGCTGTTGTTCTTGTTTATTTTTTTCGTTGTTATATGGGGGTGGGGGTGGTAAGGGAATTATCTTCCCAAAACTAATTTTACAACTTAATCCCTTTAATCGGATAGCTTCAGGCCATTTCGTTCCCGTCTCTTTTTTATTTAGTTATTTCACAAAGATATCTCTTTCGCTTACTTAATTTATTTTCATGTTTATTGATAGTGTCCCTTTCCAATCTATTTTGTCTTTAGTTTTGCCTATCCTCCCCAAAAAAGTGATGAATGATATCCTCCCAAATATCGATGATTGCAATTGCCTGAACCTTTCATCTTCCCATGTTGTATTTTTTTAAATATTTTCCGTCTTTTTTTCTTTTTAAAAAATACCCTGGGGCGAATTACAGGCTGCCATAATCATGAGCAATTGCAAATATATTTGCAAGGTCAATAATCTAAAAAGTTGCATTTTGTTCCCTTATAACTGGAATATACACGCATCTGAAAATTTAATAATAATAATAATAATAATAATAATAATAATAATAATAATAATAATAATAATAATAATAATAATAATAATAATAACAATAATAATAATAATAATAATAATAATAATAATAATAATAATAATAATAATAATAATAATAATATTTTGATGGATATAAATTTCTTTGGTCAACGTTTCCAACATTCTCTTAGTTGGAAGACAATATTTGGCCAACAGTGAACCAACAAGTTTGTCCAACTTATAAATGATCAAGGAATAACACTTCGATGAGACAACGTTGCTTATAAAGAAGCTATTCAGAGTAAATTATGCGGGAGACAATTAAAATGCATTTAGATTTCAAGATGTTTACTCTTGAAAAATGGAGAGTAAATACGATAGCACTGCTTTCTTTTATCACCATGGTTGTCTGTACTAAGATTTCCTCGTTCATCATGAATAAACCTACTTGACCAATCACTGCAAGCGCGAGTAGTTTTCTCGCCAATGGGATAAAACATTACTGTTCTCGATGCATAAATGAACCAAGCAAAGTTTGCCCATCGCAGTCACTTATCGATCAATAAAACTTGCACTTTAGATAATATGTATTGGATTGCTACATCGTCTTTTTCATTTGTTATGCGTACCTATGAAAAGGAGGAAATATTAACATAGACAGCCTTGAGTGATAAAGCTGAGTAGCTAATTCTCGCCTGTGCAGAGATTAAATGCACTTCACTGAGCAATACTGACAGTACAATAATTCCTTCACCGAATAAGTTGGGTTGATTAAGAAATATTTTACGATTTGCAGAGTCTAAGAGAAAGTTATAATTTTAGTGTCTGTAATTTGTTTTAACTTTTCACGTTTGTCATACTAGTACTCTGAAATAAGTCAAGAATTGTTCTAGAATGGTTTGCACGACAATGCTATCTTGTTAGGGCCAAACATATTCACACAATTATAGAATAACCCAATATATGGAAGCATTCAAGCCTCTATAACACACACACACACACACAATTGTTGACATTATTGCTGTAAGTTTTCTGCTTCCCCCACTTCTTTTGAAGAATAGAGATCCAGCTTGTTCAGTTGAGGATTAGAGCTAATGCTCATACAATTCATGAACAGAGATCCTGCTTGTACAATTGAGGAACAGATATCCTGATTACACAATTGAGGAACAGGGATCAGCTTACACAATTTTGGAACAGAGATCTGATTGCACAATTGAGGAGCATATATCCTACTTGTACAATTGAGGAACAGAGATCCTTCTTACACAATTGAGGAAAACAGATCTGCTTACACAATTGTGGAACAGAGATCTGCTTGCACAATTGAGGAAAAGAGATCTGTTTACACAATTGAGGAAAACAGATCTGCTTACACAATAGTGGAACAGAGATCTGCTTACACAATTGTCGAACAGAGATCTGCTTACACAATTGAGGAACAGAGATCCTTCTTACACAATTGAGGAACAGAGATCATTCTTACACAATTGAGGAACAGAGATCCTTCTTACACAATTGTGGAACAGGGAACTACTTACACGATTGAGGAATAAAGATCATGTTTTTACATTTGAGGAATAAAGATCATGTTTGTACATTTGAGGAATAAAGATCATGTTTGTACATTTGAGGAATAAAGATCATATTTGTACAATTGAGGAATAAAGATCATGTTTGTACATTTGAGGAATAAAGACCATGTTTGTACATTTGAGGAATAAAGATCATGTTTGTACAATCTGAAGAATAAAAAGATTATTTGTACAATTGAGGATTGTCCTGTCACAATTCCATTTAGGGGAAGTTTTCTTCAGAAAAAAAAACTACTAGCTGAGATCAAGAGGATATCACAATGCCCTGTTTGAAAACTATATTATATATACCATTTTCTCAGTATTTCAAGCGGATTCATCAACATGAGAGATTATATTTATTTAAAGAAAGTTGCATTCTGAAGGAAATTTTCTTTACAATAGTAACTTACGCCTCCATTAACAGTCTTTGAACTTATTAAATACGTTAATTGCTACCAAACCGTCTTTTAAGTCAATACCACTTTCCCAATTTTCATGTTTCAGTAAATCTATTGAAAGTTAACTAGTAGATGCTTTCCACATAAAGCGGTAATGCATTGTTATATCGTGTGGTTCATCTTGAGAAATTATTTCCCACTATAATGAGATGGCCAAAACACTTCTGAGAGAGTATATTAAATGCCATTTCTAAATTTCTAAAACACACCGCCATGTCATTTCGAGAAGATTTGGTTTCAAACAGAAGGTAAATTAATATTAACCAGTACATTAATGATCTTTTACATCGTGCACTAAGAGGAATGTGTGCATTTTGAATCTGTATGTGTAAGACACCAGCAGCACGTAAAACACCCATCGTATAGTGTCAGTAGGAACATCGTGCACTAAGAGGAATGTGTGCATTTTGAATCTGTATGTGTAAGACACCATAAGCACGTAAAACACCCATCGTATAGTGTCAGTAGGAACATCGTGCACTAAGAGGAATGTGTGCATTTTGAATCTGTATGTGTAAGACACCATCAGCACGTAAAACACCCATCGTATAGTGTCAGTAGGAACATCGTGCACTAAGAGGAATGTGTGCATTTTGAATCTGTATGTGTAAGACACCAGCAGCACGTAAAACACCCATCGTATAGTGTCAGTAGGAACAAACATGGGCAAGATAGTCATTCAGGGAAATACAAGGATGGATCAATAAAGCATCAAGACTGGGACAATCGTACATATGTAGAACACAGTATGAAATTGGTAAAGAACGTATAATAATTTTCTAATATAAATCATTTAAAAATACAAATTTTAGATGATACATCCCGTTCATGACCAACGGATTAGAATCAATGGAAGCTAATATTCCAGAATAAATGATTCGGTAGAGAGATTTATTAAACACTTTTTTCTCTAGCATGCATGGAAAAATAAGACTTGATCGAGAAACTCACTGTAAACAGTGCAAATAAATAGAAAGCAAAACACAGAAAAAAAGACAAAACCCCACCAAGATAAAACTCACTAAAAGGAACTACAAACTGCGCATTGCAGTTCTCTCTCTCTCTCTCTCTCTCTCTCTCTCTCTCTCTCTCTCTCTCTCTCTCTCTCTCTCTCTCTCTCTCTCTCTCTCTCTCTCTCTCTCTCTCTCTCTCTCTCTCTCTCTCTCTCTCTCTCTCTCTCTCTCTCTCTCTCTCTCTCTCTCTCTTGCAAAACACTGCATTTTGAACCTTATAAGAATTTTTTGTAAGTTTTTTAAACACGGGCGTTGTGTATTATGCATCACCGGTGTACCTACTTGTTGCCATCAATAACGTTAAACACAATAAGCATTTCCTTTAGAGACATTTCTATACGTCTTCAAGTATTATGCATAACACGTTGTCTGGAAATCATCCATTAAGTTACAGTACATTGATGGCTGAAGACAAAAATATATATCGACTAAATCAAAACAAAATTACGAAATTATAGTGATGTCTAGCACTGGGGCATCATGCCGCAGACATGTAATATGATGTTCCACCCAGTCACATTATCCTGACACTAGGCCGACCAGTCCTAACACTAACCTCTTAATGTTGAGCGCCAAGCGAGGCAGCTGTTAGTACCATTTTTGTAAGTCTTTGGTATGACTTGACCGAGGATCGAACCCACGACCACCTGCATCTGAGGTGGACGCTCTAACCACTAGGCCACCGGAGCGGTTCCTTTCATTATGAAAAGAAAACATAAACATTTTCAGTGAATTCAAATGCGTAAATAAAATATGTGACTAAGAAGAAATATTTTTAACAATGCTGGTATTGAGCATGATATAAATCAACAGTCACAATGAAAGTTGAGGCTGCTATATATTAAGAAGGTATATAAATATTGCCTTGTCAAAATGTCTCAGACGAGGAAGAATGACCAGTTTCAATTTTCTTCATAGTGTGTCATACGAAATACACGTATGTGAAATACTTAGAATAAAATGTTATCCTGCTTTCATTGGTGTAATGTCCTTATCTTATGAATTTCAAAAGTTCTAGCTGATTTGTATAGCGACATATAGGGATTAAACATGTTTTATATTACCATTTTATATACCTTTTATCTTGGGACTGAACCTGCTTACATGTTCTACAATCTCATCACCTAAAATAAAACATGTGATGATAAGGTGTCACCTTGCCTGCAACCGCGTTCCAAAGAAACCATCGTGAAACTTTGTGGTGAACAGATATACATGATTTGATATCCTCGTTAAATATTTCAATCCAATTTTTCATCATAGAGTCAACATTTAAAACAAATTAAAAACTTTACTTGTAAGTTTCAATGAAACAAAATCGAAAGATTTTTCTAAGTCAACAATTAGAAGATTGCTTATATACTTCTTTTCTATATATATATATATATATATATATATATATATATATATATATATATATATATATATATATATATATAGATATATATATATATATATATATATATATATATATAGATAGATAGATAGATAGATAGATAGATAGATAGATAGATAGATAGATAGATAGATAGATAGATAGATAGATAGATAGATAGATAGATAGATAGATAGATAGATAGATAAATAGATAGATAGATAGATAGATAGATAGATAGATAGATAGATAGATAGATAGATAGATAGATAGATAGATAGATGTATCAAGATATCAATTCTAAAAGAAAGAAACGAAAATATTAATTTGTGTACAACATATTGAAAAATCTAGTTATTGGAAGATAAAAACATCCAAATTTAAGCTAGTGCTTTGATATTGATTGGAGTGTAAGAGAAGCGTGCTCCAATCAATAATACATATCCTGAATATAATAAGGACATTGAAATGAATTTAGATTAAGCATTTATTATTGTTCAGCTTTCACTTGGTAATGGAAAAAGCCTAATTAATAAGCCAGTTCAATCGGATAGAAGTCAAATGATGTTTTATTGCACCATTCAATCAATAAAACCTTATTAGATTTCGTTGTGAAGTTGGGAACAAAGTAATTGATAATCACCATAGGGAATAATTAAATTAATTAGGTTTACAATGTGAATGACCACTAGAAGGTTATGGACATGATCCAAAAGGTCGTTACTTGGAAAAATACCGTCCACACTCACACTCTACCCCCCCCCACTAAAACTTGATATAAAGTTAAACCTGTCCTTGGAAAGCACGCGAGAAGCACGCGTCATTTTAGACAAATATCTTTTGAGACTGGATATAGCACTTGTGATTAAACAGCTTCCAGAATATAAAAAGGCTTTGAGCTGTTTTATTCTCAGTGCGGGTCCATACCCAAGAGTATTATGTCTATTTCTTACAGGTAAGAAACTTATGCTTTATACTCGCTTTTGGAAGTTAAAGATTTTATAGTGAGTTGTGGTACTCTTCTGAATTATTTTTATTTCATTAATATAATGTAATAGTGAGTTCTCTTTTCTACTATGAAATATTTTACTGATTTAATATTTTACTGAATTGATGTACATTGTATTTATAATATAATATTATTGAGTTCCCTTCTTCCACAATCATAATGTAATTTAAATATTTTACAGCTTCGCTGTTCATTAGTATTTGTTTGAAATAATTACTAGCTTCATGTTATAATTTAATTGAGAATAAATATATATTCTTTAAATAATAAGTACAACATTCACAGATCTTTTTCAGGTCTTTACCTTACAATAAATAAAATAAAATACATTTATTACAGTTATTGAATTTTAGGCTCTTTAAATATTTAAATCACTTGTATTCAAAAATACAGAAAAATGAATGGACAAATGAAATACTAGATTGTGGAAGAACTATTTCATAAGTATTGTAATATGTATTGTATGTATTTTCAACATAAATAAATTTACATGTTGTATCTTTAGAATATGTATCTATATATATGTCAATAAAGTGCGGGTCCATGCTCAAAAGAGTATTATGTCTATTTCTTACAGCGATCCCACCTCTTCGCAGCCAAGCATTCCCCACAAAAGATGTAATCTACACCATCATATGTGACACCTTATTCTTATGAATGCTGAACTTCCTGCCTTCTCGTAATTAGACACGAGAAGAAGGTTATGATGGAAACGTCTAAAAACAACATCAGACAAATTCATATCATAATATACTGGTGGATGAATAACATGAATACAAGTGTCAAAACACATAATTATGATCCAAAAGGGAGACTCGCACCTGAACCATTACGACCAGCAGACTTCGCCTAATTATTACAACTGCTCGCTCCTGTTGCACTTGTCCGACAGCTATCTACAGACTAAACGCCGTAAGTCCTAACACCATTAGACTTCACTTCGCCCGGCTATGCTACCTCAACTCCAGAAGCGACAGCGCCGCCATATTCCAAAGAGAAAACCCAAATTAGAACAACCAAACTCATTTTAGACACTGAAGCAACCAGAAATATCACAGCGGAACGAATATGATTGCAGCTATGAGAGGATCGCAACAGAAAATGCATACATCGCCTATGAGAATTCTTTTTCCAGTAACACCTGAGACTACGACATTTCGAATGCATACAGTGCTAAGTCCAGCTCCAAATTTGACCTAACTACAACCCAAAATGAATTGCAGCGACATCTACGCTCTCACAGATCAGCGACAACAGCATTAACAGTCTCCTTCTCAGTGAAAGTGACTTTAACATTTTGAACTCTTTCGGTATTAGAGACAATAGATGTATTGTTTGCTATTAGTTCATATCAAGAATATTTCTTCATTGTGGTACATCTCACAAAGGTATGATTTTCTATCTCTTATTTTGATTTTTTTTAAAATGACAAATTGAAAGTTAGTGCGTAAATTTCAAACGATTAACAACACTAATCTAACTTATGCTATATTTCATTTTTTATTGAGTAAATAACATTGTTATACTTACTGTCATTAACATACATCAGAGTTGCTAAGATTTCTATTACAGAGAGTGTGAATGAACCTTTAAGTTTAATTCCGTGCCCTAAGCATTTATATCAAACATCAAACCTACTCGTCTTGACCCTTCAAATTACATTATACATGTTTCGCTACTATCACACATATCGATCGTACCGTATTTACCTATCTTAGGGAGCATTGTACTATCCGCTATGCCGTTTCAAACATTGATGCAGAAGTTGTTTGTTTTGTTAGCTCAATGGTGTTCGATAATGTTATTGAGAATTTCTCTTACGTGTTTCATATGAAATCATATGAATGTATACCATAATGTATAATATATGGTATTGTATTGGCAAAACGCCAAATGTACGGTTCTAATGTCTTCAAACCAGTCAGAAGAGAGTTTCCTTCTATGGTTTTGCAGCATCAAATGATGTTGTAGTGTTATTATGTACGTTTTTCTATAGCTAAAGTGTCTGAACGATTGTTCGGCACAGAGTTTTGTAGCAGCTAACGGCCTGCATATTGAATTTTTGACGCAGAGAGAATGCTCTGCATATTGAATTTTTGAATGCATAATGCATTTTGAGCAGCTATTGCCTGCATATGATCAACTTCTGAGTAAAGTTTGTTTGAAGGATAACGGTCATACACACCCTTTTCTTACGTCATAGGTAATGTTAGTAATACACGCTCAGTTTTACAATTTTAATGATGCACTAAATCATGTCGAATAAGTTTTACGATTTTCATGATATTTTCACTTACCGCTCATAGGTTCGATTAAATGCAATTTCATACACACACAGGTCAAGGTTTGATTGCAAATGAACATACGTTATGGTTATTAGAGTAGAATTAACATAACACTAACATTTTCATCTTCATTACTCATGATTAATACCAAATTCTTGCAAGGTTCTCTAAGCAAACATTCTTACCTCAATGTCGCTTGTATTTAATGATATTATGTATGCACTAAGAAGATAAATTCAATATTGGTTTACAAGTAGTATCCATAATAATGAGTTATTTTTACAACACGTCGCTGAAGCAAAATAATAACCGTAGTCACTGATAAATATGTTATGCTGATGATATGCAAAATAAAAAAAAATAAAAAAATAACAAAAAAAGAGTAAAATAACATTAAACAAAATAAAGAAACCAAGAACTACAAGCTAATATTAACTTTTTATACTCGTCTTACAGGACTAGTATTAGCATAGATTATGTACACCTACAAATCGCACACAATCGAATACACGTCGTACATGACTAGGTCGAATATTTCGTAATTGAATTAAATACGAAATTCAGAAGAAAATTTGTTTGTAAATGGGAGAAATGATTATAGTCCTATCCTCCATTCCATTCTTTCTTCATACCTTCTATCTCGTTTTCTTCTTTCTGGATGATCAAACCTCTCAACCTCTTTCTTTTTCTTTAAGGTATGGATGGAATATGGATTTGGTTCGTAGGATTGTATTCTTTTTTTTAACTCTGAATTCAGTATCCGCAGTAACAGAACAAAATCAATTTACGCTAAAGGTTATATCTAGCCACTCCCACTATTTTATGATTCAGCCGATAAGTGGATTCACACTTTCAAATCAAGCTTTTAAGGAATTATTCAGTCGAATGTATCGAACATTGACACAGAGATGTCAACAGTAGCTACATATATGATATTCTTTCACACTTCAAGTCAATACGAATTACAATGAATATGCAGTTTAATATAACAATCTTATTAATTAATTAATTAGT